GACGATCCTCTTCTGCCTGAGCCGTTAGAAACGCCGCTATCACGCTGTGGGTTGTGGCTTATTTCATAATCCTCAGCCCTTTCGTTTAGCTTAACACCAGTTGCCCATCCATCATCCCATATTCCCACGACCTTAAGCATGTCGCCCCTGTCCAGCTCAAACTCATCACCTGCACGAGGTTGATACGCCCACAGCACGGTAACCTTGTCATTCGGGTGGATATCATCCTGAGAGTAGTAATCTCTGAAGTAGGGTAGTTGCTCAGATTGGCCACTGGCCATCCCTTCGGGTGAGGAATAATGGCCACCACTCCCCGATCTTGGCGAAGCCGTTTCACTGTTCCCCGCTAGGACAGATGCACTTGAAAGAGACCCATTTCTCTTGCCCGTAACAGGTGGACCACGCTTAGACCGTGCTGGGCTCTCCCCGTATGCGTCAGAATCGGACGAATCGTGATACTTGGCAAGACTAGGGGTTACTGCTGCAATTCCGCCAGCAGTACGGGGCGGAGATCCATCATGACTGCTTGCTTGTAGTGCCGACATCCTAGCCACACGACTACCTGGGAGGACCTCATATGCACCGTTCCGGCTTCCAGGGGCATATTGCATTGGTGTCCTACTACTTCGCGGTGGTGAGGGTTGGTTCAGGACGGGTGCCCGAGTTTGCTCGCGCCTGCGTCTCAAACATATAAAGAGCAGGGCTCCAAGAGCAGCCAATATAGCAAATCCTGCAACAGATCCCACAACAGCCCCAGCAATTTGACCACCAGAAAGCCCATTACCCGACACGGTTGCTGGATCCGACGGATGTGGTGAGGATGTTGGAGAGGGAAAAAGAGGAGGGAGGGGCCCGACGGATGGAAGAGTGAGTCCCTCGCAGCGATTCTCGACATCTGCGGCGAGACAACAAGAGTCTGTTGAGTTGGTGGTGCTTCCTTTGCAAAAGCTACAGAGGCCTAATATGTTTTGAGCAAAACCGCATTCATTTGGCTCATTTTCGTCGCCAGAGATGCAAGTATCGGTTAGCGCATCCTTCGGGTTCGAACAGACCGTAAAATCAGCCCTGATCTGATCCATGTATCCATCTCTCGGAGTTCCGCAGAGCTCGGGGTTGACAGCTATTAGTTGTTCACTAGTAGCATATTGTGCCTGTCGCAAAAAAATATTAACCTATGTCCATATAGTCGAAAATATACTGCGAAAATTGGGGACTAACACAGGACTCTGCACAGAGAGGTGGTGAGTTTCCACATGCCGCTGAGCTCTGAACAATTCCATTACAAATTACGCTGAGTGTATATCGGGCATAGAGCGAAGAGGTATCGCTAAGGTTGATATCGGAACAACCAATAACCTGCTGGTATCTGTTGTTGGAGGAAGAGTAGTAGAAAATATGATTAGCACAACATAGCTAACTCCAAGCGATTGGTTGGGTCCAATTAAAATGCATACTTCATTTTGACATATTCGCTATTAGCGTATGAGAACAGGTGCTCATCGAACTCTTGGGTATTGGAAACGAATGAGAGAAAAGAACTGCAAAGGTTCAGTAGATCAGCATATGATAAACCACAACTGACGGGTCTATATCTTAGGGTAGAATAAAAACATACAATTTGACCAGATTTTCAGGGCTCGTCAAGATGGCAGCATTGGAAAAGGCAGGACAAGCCTTCGAACCCTTTAGGGAAATGCAATTGCCAGCCATGGCGAGAATATATGTGTAGGACTAGGACTCAAGCGAGCGTCTTCGGTATTTGCGGAATTCCAGATGGATTTGCGACGTCGTTTTCTCTCAAAAAACAAAGCGAAGCAAATAAAACGAGGGACAAAAGCTTTTCGAGACCGATTTGATGTTGACCCAGGGGGAATCGAATCGACGAGAATAGCACCCCACAAGCTAACCGGACATGATGACACTTGAGATATCCTTCTCTCCCCTTTGGCCTGTCTGTTATCTCTGGTATAAACCTCGAAAGGATTGCAACTGTGGTTGGCTCCTGAATTGGTGTTGTCGACAGGAGTGAATGCGAAATGAGTGACGCGAAAGAAAAAAAAAAAAAAAAAAAAGGGGGGGGGAGCGAGTCAGGAGGCAAGAAACAAGATAACGAGTGAATTGAATCAGAAAAAGAAGAGAAAAATTAGGGGATGTCGTCCACCGAGGAAACGAGAAAAGGAACGAGTTGGACGATGAGGTTGGAAAGGGAGAAGAAGAAGAAAAGAAGAAGTGGAGGAAGGCGGATGGGAACGATGCGTTAGCCGCTGGCTGGGCGGTTGCTTACGCTGTATGGAGTAAGTGTGGATGTAATGTACGGAGTAGCTGTCTTTGGAATTACAGACAGGTACAGACTATCGCAGTCGGTCGACTACTGTACGGTACCTGGCATGACCATACACAGCGAAACCTCGAACACTATGGCCAATCAGACAGGTGATTTCTGTACATGTATGTATGTACGCTGCGTACGCAGTACACTGTACCTAACGCTGTAGGTACCAGATCCATGACGCTGGGTGGTGGCAATGTCAGAATAACATTGGTGCAGTTTTACGGATGCTGACACGTTGCTACGACGCACGCTAAAAAGTAACAGTACGCGGTCCAACGTGGAAGAACACTCGCTCTCTAAGGTGGAAATTCCTTTTTTATTGTTCTTTCTTTAGTCCCAGAGTGGGCGCATCTACGTAGTACATGCAGGAACAGTGCCATGCATCGGAACTTCCTTTCTGGATGCATGTATGTGCTACTCCGCAGCATGAACGCAAAGACTAAGCTGCCTGGAGTACCTATCATAGTATCATATCATTGCGCCAGGAGAGTTTGAGCCTCACCCTTTTGCTATTTCTGTGTTGTCCACTGGAACCACTGCTGCAATCCGTGGATCCGTATTCAGTGAAAAAAGGCTACAGTTGACGTACTCGAGACTTGTTTCATCGAACCATCAATCACCCTTGTTATTACTCGAGCTCGCTTTTCAAACGGTTAGTTTTGTGGTAGCTCCAGGCCCGTCGCGGCTAGCCCCTGAACTTGTCCCATATATGGGAAATGAGAAACGCCACCCTTTCGACCACTGAGCTTTGAGCGGTTTTGTCACCACCGGATCGATGCTTTCTCTCCATAGTCCGTTGCGGGCGTTCCAAATAATAAGGGAAAAGAAAAACAGGATAAAAAGCCCCCAAAATTTAAGAACCACTTAAGGAAAAGCAACAAAGGAAATCTTCAGAGTTCCTCGCCTGGGCGATGGGGACGCACAAATGCTGCACAAAGTTATTACACCATTGTATTTAATTATTATTATTACAATGACTGCTGGATTGTCATTTGCCAAGTACTCCGTACCTGGGTACTTGTACTGTACAGTACCAACAGAAAGGACTCTCTACAATACCACTAGAAACTGAAGCCTTGTAATAATACCGGGCATTTATTTCCACCGTGAAATTATTCTTCTCATAAGGTCTTTTCTACTCCGTACTCTATACAATGAAGACACTGATTATATTCTCACATCTTATTTCGTGTTGCTTGAGCCTCAATTCCCAAGAAATAATACTGAGATTGAAAAAAAGTCTGTCTTGACAATGCGCTTGGTCAATTCCTGCAGCAAGTTTGCTCATCAAAGAAACAATGTCCTCTTCCACATTCTTTTGAAATATCACAGCATACATATAAAGTTCTTTACAGAGGTGTCAAGCATTCAATTACTCTGTACAGTGCATACACATTCTATCCATTCATATTCCTTTACCCCCCTCATTGTAGCTCATACAAACAAAAGCCGCTGTAGGCTGCGTCCCGAATAAAAAAAGTTTGGAATCAACACGTTGCATGGGCCTCAATGAAGCAAATTTCTTCCTGCGAGATTCTAGGAACCGCATTGCCCAACTCCACGCCCATGCTACCTGGTATCTATGCCAATGGATTGGCAGACTAGAATCATAGACATCAAGGCAGCTGAGTCCCCTCATGGAGCTGGCTTCCGAAGCATTGTCGAAGTCAATACCAGCCCGGCCGTGTAATGCATTCAGAATGTGGCGCCGGATTATACCTCCTCCAGGACAAGTGAACTCAGTTGAATTTCAGCTGATGAATCTCGTCATTTGCGCCGCTGCCCTTATAAGGAGTCTGGACAACCCTTGGGAACGGGAATGATGAATTCCTGATCAGATTGCAGCGGTAAAGAGGCAATTTATTATGGATGGCGTTCTCCTGCCTAGGGTATATTTCATCCATCCTTATCTTCCCCGATGCATTGTAATGTGAAAATATACAAACTAGACGGAGAATCTGGATGATATGTCAAATAGCATGCCACTGCTATCGCCATTTCAAATAGGTCTACTCCGTAGTCATCTCTAACTAGAGTACTATCATTGTCCTGGCCTCGAGATGGTGGGAGCTTCGACATTGTTTGACATGCATTCTATAGTTGTATAGTTGATTTGGGCAGCATGAGTTCGTTGCTGGCGAAGGGGGCAATAATTACGCCAATATGATGTGACGTATGTACGGAGTACATAGCTGCTATCATATGCCGATTCGCCATTTCAGCTGGCGCTCTGACCGATCGAAATAGGTGGTGAAAATGCAGTAGCAGATCTAATGCCGTTTTCTAAGACTGCCGTTCTTCTGGTAGCATATATTGTGCATACCATACAGTATAATCCCCACCGTTCGTTTGATGTTGATATCTGCGAGTTTAAAAATAGCCCAGCCCGACCTCATCCTTGGCTGGTCATGTGACCCCGCCCCTCCGCCACGTCCATCACCAGTCAACCTTTAAATTAGCGACAACTCTGACGGAGCTTTCGCAGGCTACCGCATTCTCCGCAGTTGGAAAAGCAAAGACAAGACGTCAACACCCGACATCCAGCTATTTAGGCTATATTTCTTTCATTCTGCCCCTGACGCGCTGATACTCTCTCTCTATAGTATTTTTATATTAACTACCACAGCACTGGACGTACTGTACATACATACGACATCCGACAGTCACCATGTGCTGCTCACCAGACTGCTTCCTCGCATTCATCGCCGTCCTCTTCCCTCCTATCGCTAGTATGTTGCCATCCCACCATCTCTACTGCGTAGATGACACCCCCCGCACGATCCAGTGCATCATTCCGTACGCGCCTGACTTTATGATTTCCATCAAAACTTAACTAACCAACCATCCGCCGTCCAAAACAGTCTGGGTAAAAGTCGGTATCTGCTCCGCCGACTCCCTCATCAACGTCGCCCTACTCATCCTCGGCTACGTCCCCGGCCTCCTACACGCTTGGTACATAATCCTAAAATATCCAGAAGACGATAGTGACTATCCAGACGGCTACCAGCCCATCGTGGGCGCAAGCGGGCAACGCAATGACACAGAGGGCGGACGAGTAACATACTACTATGTATCACATCAGCCACCACGACAACAACCGCCATCAGCCCCTCACGCTGGTCCTCACAGATCCTACGGAACAACAGCACCTGCCGTTGATCCGGCAACAAGACCACAGCAGCCGCCTCATCCTTCTGCGCCTGGAGAAAATGTTGCCGGGGAGGCGAGTAGCAGCGACCAACATGTTCGCGCACCACCCACGTACGCGGAAGCCGTGAAGGGCGACCATAAGATTCAGACTCCGGACTGAAGGGATGAATGGCTCGTTAATTGATTAGTTTTACCATGTGATTATGATGATGATGACTACAACGGCGATGATCATCGCAGATATTAACAACACACCGGGGGGGGGTGTTAAAGTAACTCTGCCTCGTAAATCTCCTTACTCCACTGATTCATCCAGTCGACGGGACAGACGATAAAGTTCTCTCACCTCCCTACGCCAACAACCGTTTTTAATATCCCCTTCTTCCCCCTACTCGCGGTCTGTCCGCCGCTATCCGCGCTCTTTTTTTTTTTTTTTTTTTTTTTTTTTGCCAGTGTCTAGATAGGGCTAGGTGCTTTTTGTAATCCCTTTGCGATTTCTGTTAAATCTTATATTTGCCTATTTGCTTTTTCGCGCGCGCCAGGTCGGTGTTATCAGTTCTGTATTATTTAGCCTCTAGTATACTACTCTGTACTCCACGTTCGGAACGGCTATTTCGTCGCCTTGGTGCTACGATGTGAAATATATCCTTGTTTTTGAAGGTTTTTCCTACACTGGCAGGCAGCGTGACCGGCGCATGAAACCCTCCTAAATATGTTTTTTCTTTTTATTTTTATTTTCTTTTCATTGTAAATGGTAGATACAAAATTGTCAGCGGTGATTATAATGTGAAACAAAAAACTCCAAAGGAAGACTACTAAATGAACATATGATTAGCAAAATAGTAAATATCTGACGGCATGCCTGAGATGTCGATATCAAGTTCATACTTCAACATGCCAAGTCCGCATTTTTAAAGAAAATTTTCTAACCGTCACCATGTTTGAATGCAGTTCAATAAATTTCGCATTTAATTACTTTACATCAAGTTCATATGGAACAAACTGCAGTGATGGGCAGCAAGTAATCCATCTAGGCATTTGAGAGGCAATGGCATTGTCTTGAGTAGTGAGTGGATACTCCAAACTCCGGCAACATATTTCCGCACTCGGCACCATTCTTAACTTTCACCATCTTCACAACACCAACCGCCAACAACAAACCTCTCTCCCTTCCCCTCCTCCCGCGCGCCAATGAAGCTGTCTTCTGCCGCAAAGACAGATTTCACCTCACCATGCAACCCATCCCACTAATATTCCGGCAATCCCTTCTCCGCTCATCCATAAATCTCACACGAACATCCTCCACCACCGCCGCCGCCGCCAAAACATCCACTCCAAAATCTATAACTACATCTACTACGAGAACAGCACGCCCAATTGCACTCTTCCAGACAGGTTCTAGTCAGGAACATCAATGGCTACCCAGTGCGCCCAATAACAATATCAATAACAATGCGTATGCATCTGCGTCCGTATGTTTGCGCTGTCGATTCCGTGGTCGGTATTACTCTGTGCAGGGAGGTGGGAAGGGGATAGATGGGGAGAAAAATGATTCCATGCCTGTTAAGGAAGACGCGGAGGGGAATGTAGGAAGGAAAGGGGATGGGGAGGTACAGGGTGCTTTTATGAAAAAGGAATCGGAGGTTGAGTCGGATTCGTTAGGTGGGGAGAAGCAAGACGGCCTGGACGGATATTCAAAGATGCAACAGCAGGAACAGGAACAGCATGAACAGAAGCAAAACCATGCCAAGGGGGAGAGTGAAGAGAACGGGAGTGGGAGTGGGAATGGGAATGGGAATGGGAATGGAAACTACCGGGGCTTGCCGTCACAGATTGAAAAGCGCAGATCGGACCTCTCCAAGCAGTTTACTCGGTTGATGGATAATATGCAGTCGAACATTTTCATTGCGGGTCAGAGGCTGAATGACCTCACGGGCTATTCTGCCATTGAGAAGCTGAAGCAGGATATTCTAATTCAGGGTACGTATTGAATTATATGTTGCCATTGGGGGGTTCTGTTGGTTTACATATTTAACCAAACCCGCCGCACCATTGATCCCAGTTTATAGAATTATGTCACCAAAAAAAAAAAAGGGAGAGAGAAAAAATGAAAGAGGAGAGAACAAAGGAACTGGTATCATTCCTACACCAATGCTAACCCACCTCCAACCCTCCAGAAGAACGAGTCCGCGAAACCCGCATCCGCGTCCAAGAAGCCAAAAAAGCGTATTCCGCCGCCATAAACCGCCGTTCCACCTCACAGCGTGAAGTCAACGAGCTCCTACAACGCAAACACGCCTGGAGCCCTACCGATCTTGAGCGCTTTACCTCCCTCTACCGCTCGGACCATGCCAACGAGCGCACCGAGACAAACGCGCAGGAGTCCCTGGTGGCAGCTGAGCGCGAGGCGGAAGAAGCCGCAGCCGTGCTGAGCAAAAGCATCCTATCCCGCTATCATGAGGAGCAGATCTGGTCCGACAAGATCCGCCGCATGAGTACATGGGGCACATGGGGTCTGATGGGGGTGAATGTGCTGCTGTTTCTGATTTTCCAGGTTGCGGTGGAGCCGTGGCGGCGCCGGAGGTTGGTGAAGGGGTTTGAGGAGAAGGTTATGGAGGCGTTGGAGAGGGAGAATGGGATGAAAGAGGGTGTGGGCACCGCTGAAGGCGCTGATGCTGATGCTGCTGCCAGTACTACTGCTGCTGCGACCCTCGCTGCTACGCCAGCACAAGTCACCGAGCCAGCTGCTCCCATATCCTCCCGTGTCTCAGAGGAGACTCAACCAGGACCAGGACAAGGACCATTAGAACCCGCCCCGTCCCCCGAACAGGATATTCCCGATCCAGCGGTCATATCTACTTCAACACCCTCACTCACCCCCTCACAACCCACTGGACAATCACCATCACCACCCTCCACCTCGATCTTACCCCCAGACGCCTCCCTCTCGCCAGATTCCTGGCGCCAAACGATCCATTACCTCTTCAGTGAACGACGCATTACGCTATCCCAACGCGAGCTGACGACGGTCGCGCTTGAGAGCGCGGCGGCTGGTGCAGCCGTGATGGGCGTGTTGATTGCTATATTTAGACCACGGTGAGGGCGATAGCGACGGATTTATTTCTGATGAAGATAGGAAAGTATTTCATGTGTATTTGCTGGGTTAGATAGATTTTTTTTTTTTTTTTTTTTTTTTTTTTTGCATTTAAACCCTACCCTCGAGTTTCCCCTTTTTCGATGTATTCTCTCTTCTTGTTCCATTATATTTTCCTTTGTTTTATATCATATAATATCTATACAAAATACTCGTCGCCATGCAGTTGGTTACACATGGCTAGTGATGATGGGAGAAGGAAAAATTTATATTATATACTTAAAGAATATAGCCTCCCGAAAATTTTCCTTTAATCTACTTCGATTAACCATAGTTTAATATCGCGTGTAAATAGTTTTAACCTTGGGCGAGTTCCAAGGTTCCACGAAAGTCTAGAGAAGAGTTGTTTATTGCATATATACGGCCACTCGGCGAACAGCAAGGAAAATTCACTGTACATGCACATACCAACCGCGCCACCACTCAAACGGCGCGCAAAGTAAGTGTCCAATCCACAGCTGTAACCGCATTCGAATACCCATTTGAGATGTCACCGCGAATGGGAGAAACAGCAGATAGAAGGGATTGGGTGTTGTTGAAAGGAAAGGAAATAGAATGGGTGACCCCTTCTCAATCGCCATTGTTTTCTTCCGGGCTGAAGTTTCCGTTGCTCATAGCCTGAATAGACAGGGTGAGTAGATAGATGATAGGTGTAGGGAGATATACAACAAAAAGTCTTTTTTTTTTTTTTCTCCCGTCTTTCAAAGTTCTTTGACTCTCTCTCTCTCGCACTCTCTCTGTCTTCATCTAACAAGAAATATTATGATCACGATGCATAAAAAGAAAATAAGAGGTTACACATCTGTTTTCCCCAGCATACACGACACGACACGACACCACCAAATTCCAACAAGGTAGATAAACAAAGTGGGGGTGAAAAGCAAAAAATATACACACACAAAGGGAATTGAAGAATGAGCTGAGAGCGTGGGGGAGTAGCTCAATGAAAAAGAAAAAATCAAAAGGTAGAATTCTGTATGTATGTGTTGTTTTTGTTCGTTCGGTTTGTATTTTTATATAGATAGTTGACTGTGTTTCTGCTAGTTAAGCAAGTTTTCTAACCGATCACCAGACTATCGTCGGTGGGGAAGGTGTATGGCGGGACCTCGAGGTTGAGGGGGGCGGGACCCTTTCTGATACGGCCGGAGATATCATAGTGGGAGCCGTGGCATGGGCAGAACCATCCTCCATACTCACCGGCTTCGCCGATGGGGACGCAGCCGAGATGGGTGCAGACGCCTAGTGGATGGTTTGTTAGATATCTATCTGTTTACTATCCATATGCCTGATTGGGAAGGCAAAGGGCCGGATGGGTGAAGGGGGGATTTTCAATTTACCAAGCATAACAAGCCACTCGGGTTTCTGTACACGGTCCGCATCGGCCTGAGGATCCCGGAGATCTTCCCATTTCATGTTCTCAGCTTCTTGGATCTCGTCAGCGGTGCGGTGGCGGATGAAGACGGGTTTGCCTCGCCATTTGATGATGACCTGTATTGTTTTGCGTGGGAACGCAGAGGCGCGCGCAAAAAGTCAGATTTTATTTTGCAATGATTCCATCATCTTTCTTCTTTTCTATCATTCCGTTTTATTTGTCTCCAATTGAAAAGGATGCGGAAGGATAAATGGGATGCATACATTTTTGCCTTCTGGGATCGCATTGAGCGCAATTTCAACCTTGGCCTGGGCGAGAACGTCGGCGGAAGCAGACATGTTGACGAGGAAATCTGGATTCAGCCATATTCAATTAGCAAATTGCACATTCCCAATGTATCCTACTTCAATTCCAATTGTCGACTTGATTCCATTTCCACATCCAAAATCACCCAACCACATCCGTCGCCCAGAACGCTCGTTAACCGAAGTTCCCCCTCTCCCTCCAAGATAGAGTCACCACAACACACAAAATCCCCCCCCCCCCAAAAAAAAAAAAAAAAAAGGCAAAGGTATCTCAAAAACTTACCGTGCACAGTCGCCTTGGCACCGACGGCAGTCACCAACCCCATACTTCCAGCCATGAAGTACGAAAACACCTTATTCGACGACTCGCCGGACTTGCTGGCATATTTCTTGAAGCTGGGGATCTTGAGGGTCGACGCGCTCTCCTTGGACTGGCCGAAGGGGCTATCGAAGGAGGAAGTTGTCGACGTGGAGGCAGAGGAGGCTCGTCCTCGGCGTTGTTGCTGGGCGGAGGAGGTGAGTGCGGCTGCGGTTGTTCGGGCGGAGGAGAGCTGCTGGCGGGTGCAGGCCCGGACGAGGGTGGAGGCGGCAGAGGTGGAGAGGGGAGGCATGGCAGGCGAAATGCGATTGAGCAGTTTCTACGGGGAGAAGGGATGGAGGAGTTGGATTGGCAATTTAGTGGAGTGAATGGGATGGGAGGGACTCGAGGAGGTTGAAGGGGAAGTTCAGCGGTGGAGAATGGTTTGAGGTTGGAAATTCGCGATGACCGGAAGCCAAATCACGAGACGCTGATTGGCCCACACAACAATGAGGAAAACGTCCACAGCCAAAGAATGAAGGCGAACAACAAGGACAGCAGAGGAAAAGATGGATATAGTTGTGTTTATGAAGAGAAGATTAAAACTAGATATGCGGTTGAATACTTGACGCAGCAGTGGGAAATCAATGTGCTAACACCCAGTTATTTATTCTTTCCCATTTTTTATCTCATATTTACAACACTCCCAATAAAAAACACCAGTCCAGTAAATATCACTCATGTCCAAACATCAATGCTAACAATAACAATAGCTAACCATGGAATACATCAAAATGTAAAGGAAAACAAAGCAGTGGATAACAAAATCAACTAACTCCCTTGTCCCCCCAAAAGTTTTATAAAGTACACCAGCCAAAAAAATAAAACCTAACAGGAATAGAAGACGAAAAATACCCTCAGTCATACAACAAGAAAGAACAAAAAGAAGTGTCTCATTGTGTCATCTCAACATCCCCATCAGCCCCAACCACTTCATCGTCTGGATACATAGGATCGTTGGCCACGAGAGAACTAGGCGGCCGTGATGAGTGCATAACCATCGGCGGGCGGGACGTCAGCAGATGCGTGTCTCCCTCCCCGTTCAAGGCCAGCATGGAGTCTTCCCTCCGCTCTCGTGACGACGTCGTCGTGCCATTTGCCCGCACCCTCGCGCCGTTCAGTGTTCGCTGGCTCTTCGACACACCAGCGCCATTGGCGGTCTCCTTGGCTCTCTTCTCTTTGAATTGTTTATATGTCGTCGTCTTGGGTATTACGTCGGCTAGGAACTCGAGGTTGTCGATGCGGGAAACAGCGGTTGCTGTGGGGTAGATGTTAAAACGGGGTAGTTCTTTTTCTTTTTCTTTTTCTTTTTTCTTATTTGTATTGGGCAGATTTGTATGAAAGGACGAGAGAGAAAAGAAAGACCAGAAGGGAATGTTTTGTGCACATGTTTCGCAAAAGTAGTTTATGATTAAATGTGACATACCTAGATCTTTGTACTGGATTGTCCGTCTTGGTTTCCGTTCGGACTTGACAACGTTGTGACCTTGCTCTGCCAGGTATCGGATAAACATCTCCTTTAAAATATACATGCAGAATAGTGCCTCCGTATTAGTACATATCTGGTAACCCTCATGTCCCATAGACAGTCCTAGGATGGGTAGTAAGCACATACGGTTGCCACCGCGATCACAAATGCGGCGTTGTTCGAACACTGGGCTATGTCTTCGTCCAGATGTATGATCTTTTTGATTCTAGTCACTGTCGCATTCGAATATACTTGTCAGTCGCAACACCTTTTACACGTGAGATGTGGACAGAAGGGATGGAATGTAGCGTACATGGCAGAGCAGCATGGCCGCTGACCTCCTCCGGCGGAGGGTTGGCAGAGGTGTTGGAAGGCATAGAGCGAGAAAGGCGTTTGGTTATATTTCTCGCGCGATGGGACTCGAGAGAAAGTGGATTGGAATATGGGCGGAGAATGCTGCTGAACGTGAGGTGGATTGTTTCAGCGTAAAATAGGAGGTTGATATGGGAGAGCGCGTAAAGGATGGCGGTAGTTATATAAAGATGCAAGCTGGGGATATATAAAGGGGATCTAAATGCGCGATATTTAGTTGGTAGCTGGGAGGTTAGAAGGAAGTTGTCTATTTAAATCAACGCGTGCGGAAGATGGAGGATATTTAGTCAACTAAATATGAGATGAATGTGCACTTCCAATTGAATAAATAAGCAAAATATACAGCTCTCTCTTTATATATAAATAATACATACTAAAATATCTACCAATAAGCGTTTAAATAATTAATTTCCGTGATTCTCGTCCTTTCTCTTATTTTTCCTCACAACAACCACGGACTTAAATATTTAAATATTTAGTTCTTTAGGGCTGGCCCAGACTGGGAGGGAATGAATCATCACCACTTCCAAACTGCGAAACAACAACAGCTCTCGAACTTCACCATCAGCAAAGCTATCCGCATCTATCCACGTATTTATCATAGACAGTGACATTATATTTGCTCCGTCCCCATCGAGGATGATAACCTGAACCCCTACAGTCGCCGGTGTTATGAACCCCTCGCGCTCATCTCTCTCCGCTCACTCTCTCCGCTCTTCTCAGCGCCGCTTCTCAATCCATCCGCCGAATATCAATTCCCCCACCGATACCATACCACAACATGCACATACACCCACTACAGAAACCCCGCGGGAGGGCGGTGCCCACACTATTCCTTCGCCTCTAAGAGACGAAATCTACGAGATCAACGAGATCAAACGCTACGAAGACTTCACCACCATCGACTGGGTGCAGGACGCCGTGCACGAGCAGGCACGACGACGGGCCAAGCGCATAGATGCATCGCGATTCTGGGACCAAGAGGGGACGCTGGGATGGAGGAGGAAAGTTAGGGAATCGTACGATGCCGGCCAGGCGTGGTTGGTTATCACGATTGTCGGGGCTGCGATTGGGTTCAATGCGGCCTTCCTCAATATCGTGACGGAGTGGCTGGCAGATATCAAGTTGGGATATTGCACGACGGGATTTTATTTGAATGAGTCGTTTTGCTGTTGGGGTGCCGATGATGGTATTTATTCTTTCCTTTTGTCCTTTTAACATTATGGCGGCTCCTAGTCTTCTTCTTTCGGTTTTCTATTTCACCCTTTTACTGATTTGCAGCTGTGCAAGGATGTCCGGAATGGCGGGCGTGGACCCCGATAGCGCCATTAAACTACATCGCATACTTTATCTTCGCGGTAGGTTCTATTATATGTTGCCGTCGTGTCCTTATGAAGCTGGAGATTACAGTGTCTAATTGGCGGTTCCCGTACTCTAGGTGCTCTTTGCGTTCTCATCTGCCGTCCTCGTCAACTCATTTGCGCCATATGCTGCGGGCTCTGGCATATCGGAAATCAAAGTTATTATTGCTGGTTTTATCATGAAAGGTTTCCTTGGTGCTAGGACCTTGATCATAAAATCTTTGACCTTACCGCTGTCGATTGCATCCGGGCTCTCAGTGGGCAAGGAAGGCCCCAGCGTCCATTTTGCTGTATGCACGGGGAATGTTATTTCCCGGTGGTTCGGCAAATATAAGCGGAATGCGGCAAAGACACGGGAGATCCTGACTGCCACAGCTGGTGCTGGAGTAGCAGTCGCATTTGGCTCTCCTATCGGGGGTGTTTTGTTTTCGTTGGAGGTATTTCATTTGCTCTCGGTTTCCTCTATTTCCAGAATATCAAATCGTAGATTTGCTGACCTTTTCACAGGAAATGGCTTCATATTTTCCCTTGAAAACACTTTGGAGGAGTTACTTTTGCGCCCTAGTAGCAACCGGAGTCCTTGCGGTACGTCCTGACTAGATCCGCTTTATTTGTTCTTCTTATTTGCATATTTTGCTCACGATCGCGTTAGGCAATGAACCCCTTTCGAACAGGCCAGCTCGTAATGTTCCAGGTGAAATATGATCGGACGTGGCATTCGTTTGAATTAATTTTCTTTGTTTTGCTAGGCGTCTTTGGCGGGTTATATGGCGTGTTTGTTATGAAATGGAACTTGAGATCGCAGGCGTTCCGGAAGAAGTATCTATCACGACATCCAATTATCGAAGCTACGGTGCTCGCCGGGGTCACTGCATTGATATGCTACCCGAATATGTTCCTAAGGATCAATATGACTGAGATGATGGAGATCTTGTTTAGAGAGTGTGAAGGAGCACATGATTATAATGGAATTTGCAAGTATGTACTATTCTCGGTTTCGCGACATTCCTGTGTTCAAGGGACTGGATTGTGCTAACGGTTTTTGATTTAGCACTAATAATCGCTGGTCAATGGTTATCTCACTTGCTATTGCTACAATAGTTCGAGTCCTCCTGGTTATCGTCTCATATGGATGCAAGGTACCCGCTGGAATCTTCGTTCCATCGATGGCCATAGGAGCTTCCTTTGGTCGGATGGTTGGCATTCTTGTCCAAGCTTTATATGAAGCCTTTCCGGATTCGAAGTTTTTTGCTGCTTGCGAACCTGATGTGCCTTGTATCACGCCTGGAACATACGCATTCCTTGGAGCAGGTGCTGCACTGAGTGGGATCATGCATTTGACTGTATCAGTCACAGTGATCATGTTTGAGCTCACCGGCGCCTTAACTTATATTCTCCCAACGATGGTAAGCTAGAAAACCTGCTTGACGCAGATAATATACATCAGTGCTAATCTTCCAAGCAGATTGTGGTTGGCGTAACCAAGGCAGTCAGCGACAGTTTCGGGAAGGGCGGTATTGCAGACCGCATGATCTGGTTCAACGGCTTCCCATTCCTCGACAACAAAGAAGACCACATCTTCAACGTCCCCGTCTCCCACGCCATGACCAGCAAACCCGTCGTGCTTCCGGCAACCGATTTCCCAGTATCCAAAGCCGAGAATCTTCTTCAGCAACACAAATACCAGGGCTTCCCAATCGTTGAAGACCTTACCAACAAAGTCGTTATAGGCTTCATCGGCAGAACAGAGCTTCAATATGCAATCAATCGCGCAAAACGGGAAGGTCTCCTTTCCCCCAACGCCAAATGCCGCTTCACCAGCACCCCTTCCGCTTCTTCCCACCGCAACCGTAACACCGTTCAACCCACAAGCTCCCTGACTCTCCAAATACCCTCCAACCGACAGACCTTCGGATCCAACTCCTCCTCATCCTCCCGATCCGAAGACCACCCCTTCAATTCCGATCACAGCCCCGATGACCGGCCCCCCTCCCGCACATTCGACGACATCGCCACCTCAGCGGGCATACGCTCCATAGATTTTAGCCAGTACGTCGACCTGGCACCGTTAACAGTTCACCCACGCCTACCGCTAGAGACGGTTATGGAGATATTTAAGAAGATGGGGCCTCGGGTGATCCTCGTGGAACATCGTGGGCGTCTCTCCGGCCTCGTTACTGTTAAGGATTGCTTGAAGTATCAGTTTAAGGTTGAGGCGCAGGAGCATACCGCGTCTGGTGTTGGTGTTGGGGACGATGGACATGGTCATGGTCATGGTAGTAATAGTGGACTTGGTGAGGGGATTGTTGAGCAGAAGGCTTGGGAGCTTATTCAGTGGGCGACGGAGAAGGTGGCCTTTTGGAGGAGGATGGGGTGGGGGAGGGGGAGGGGGAGGGGGGGTTTGTTGCGGCTGGGATCCTCGCAAGAGGAGAGAGATTGGAGACGGGGAAGTGGGCATGAGGCGAATGAGTGGGATGGGGAATTATTGCAGTCGAGAACTTCGTCGGATATTGTGGATGGGACAGAGGAGTTGGAGGGGTTTGTGGAGCTGGAGGAGAGAGGGAATTAGGTATCCGTGATATCGTATGTATGTATGTATGAATGAATGAATGTACTATATATGTACGTGTGAAATTTTTTTGGACTAATGGCGGGGAGTGGGGCTTTTCTTCTTTTCTCTTTTCATGCTCTGTTGTATTCAATTGTTGCTAGGCAAGGCCCATATCTCGCGCATTTAGATATTAGGCTCTGAAGAGGTTAGAAATTGTGGGAATGCTAGCCCTGAGTGATATATAGACATCTTAACATATTATATAATAATTTTCCAACGCACATATATGGACTCGCAGTAGTCACGACCTCTATTTATTCTATTTCCCTTCAGCACAAACCGACCGAACTACCAACTCCACAAACAAACCCATCGCATAGAGCAAAACCCGCCCACCAATTCATCATCCACGCTTTAGTTAACTAACTCACCTCCCCCTCGTCCCCCCCTTCCCCCCCTTCCCTCATCCCCACAACCACACACCCCCCCGCCATCAACGCCGCACCCACCCACCACAACCCATCCACCCTTTCCCCAAAAACCGCCATCCCCAACAATGCCGTAAGCAAGAAATTCGCCGTCGTGTTCGTGATGGCCACTTTTGTGCTCGACGCTGAGGCCGTCAGGGCCCGCGTGAACATGGCCCACATTACCCCGTTGGAGAGGATGTTGAGGGCGAAGAAGAGCTAGTTATGCTCAGGTTTAGTCTTTTCTTTTTCTTTCTTTTTATGATTTTGGTGTGGTGGGGCGGGGCATGGGCATCGTGGATTTGATGGACTTACGGCGCGGGTTATATATTCCGCTATCCTCGCTGAGGAGGGAGGGAGGTTGAGGAAGTGAGAGAGAGTCTGGGAAATGGTGGCTGTGAGGTGGGTTGTAGTCCTGGGTGTCATGGGGGGGGGGGGGAGTGGTTAGTTCTGTAGCTTCAACGTATGCAAAATAGAGAGATATATGGTTTGATGCCAATTTCGGGAGAGAATCATTCCATAATATTTATTCTGATCATTCTACCTCCCCCTACCGCCCCTAGTTTTGTAGTTGTATGCAAACGCCACGCGCGGGACGAGAGTAGTATGGGCGGAGAAAGTTCATGGATTCCTCCATTTATATACCCCTGTTCCCCCCTTTCTATTTTTCTCTATGTAAAAAAAGGGGGTGTCCCCAAAAAAACAAGAAAACAAACCTTCTAATAAAAGGAGAAAAAAGGAAAAAAAAAAATCACCTACAATTTCGCAAACAGCCCATTCGTGGCAGCGAACAAACCGCTCGCAATGGCTAGAATGACCCAGTTGTACGCGGATGAAGATGGGGATGGTGCGGCCGCATTTCCATTTCCATTCCGTTTCCGTTTCCGTTCCCCTTTCTCCCGCTCAATGTGATCTTCCTTTCGTCTCCCCGGTATAGATGGTGATATATCGTCCACATCTGCTGAAATATCCCCGGAGCTGGTACTTTGGTTGTTGAGTCGCCGGCGAACCATGCTGGGAATGGTTTGTTCCCCGTAGTCTGATGGGGTTGAGTGAGGTTGTGTAAATGGGATGGATGTAGTCCGTTGGCGGTATGTATTCAAGGACATATATATGTATGTAAGCAGTAGCAGGTAAATTAAATTTAAAAATTTACACTGTTAAAAAGATGGTAAATGAAGAAATTCCCAGAGTTACTCTATGGGAGGAATGTCGAGTGATAGCAGTTGGTATACATACAAATATTGTGGCGGACATATTACTTGCGAAAACAGAATTTTCCCAGCCCCCTCTGAAAATTAGTAGCAAAACACCACCAAAAAATCAAAATATCTGCATTTCTCTAGAATCATTCAATATCATTCAATACACGTCTTTTTCAATCAAATATCATCCAAATACGCGTCTTTCTTATCTTTATCATCAAATCCACATATATCAATCAACTCTTTTTTCAATATGCCTCACAACACCTGCTGTCCTGCTGCTTCGCAAGCCTGTACAAAGACTCCTACCCTGCACCTCAGTCTCCTCAAACTACCTGTTCCAGAAGTTCTGGATAATGAAGAGGATCCAGTCAATGATGAGATGGAGAAGCAGATGAATGAGAAGAATATAGAGACTCAGTCTGAGGATTCTTGATATCCACAAATCTCTACACCTGAGTCTGATATCTCATACAGATTGTATGAACGGGTGATTATCAATGAGATAAAGAACAAGAGAGATGACAAAATGATTAATAAGTAGAAAGAAGAAGAAGAATTAGAAGAATGAATCTATAATTTCTACAATCAATTCTTCTATACAGATCTCTCAAATGTCAGTGATTATATTCCCTTCTTCAGCTCTGACAGCTTCAACTTCATTCAATATGACATTCTCAAGTGAGATAATCAATGTGATGATGATGAAATATATGATGAAAGGAATAGAAGAACTGAATTCACAATCTCATTATCATCCACATCCAGATCTGCTGTTGAATCTTCCATCAAATCCACCGTTGAAATCTTCCATCGAATACACTGTTGAAATCTTCCATCGAATCCACTGTTGAAATCTTCCATCGAATCCATCGTTGAATCTTCCATCGAATACACTGTTGAAATCTTCCATCAAATCCGCCGTTGAAATCTTCCATCGAATCCGCCGTTGAATCTTCCATCGAATACACTGTTGAAATCTTCCATCGAATCCACCGTTGAATCTTCCATCGAATCCATCGTTGAAATCTTCCATCGAATCCATCGTTGAATCTTCCATCGAATCCATCATTGAAATCTTCCATCGAATACACTGTTGAAATCTTCCATCGAATCCGCCGTTGAATCTTCCATTGAATCCACTGTTCCATCTCCAATTCAAAGCAGTTCAATACCTCAATTTGATGAATACTTCAATTGATTGACAAGGGAACAGTTGCTTCATATGAATATTGACAAGAGTATATTTCAAATTATAAGAGATGGATTAAAAAGTCCATTATAACAGACAAAATTGCAGAAATTCAAATCATCTTTATTCACTATTTATAGTGATGAGAACAGATCTCATACTACTTTCACTTCTAAATTTATATTATAATGAATTGTAATCTGAATCTTTCTAATTATTATAATACTATTCTATATAAGTAGATCTGAAATATTCTTTTATATCTTTTTCTCTTATGAAGTTCTCAACTGCATGATATAAAAAAGCTTCAAAATCTTCATCAAATCTCTTCAGAATTGAAGAGATATCTGATATAATCTTTGACTTTATATCACATGTTGAACAGAGTTCTCTAGCAGTTTCAAAACAGTGAAGATTTCATTGAATTCAATATACACAGATGATAATCAATGCTTCACGCGATCTCAGCAGACATATAATCATTCTTAAGATGTACAATCTTGTTGATAATGAAATCACAGAGTTGAGGTGGCATATTGATGATAAAGGTAAGAAAGACGCGTATTTGGATGATATTTGATTGAAAAAGATGTGTATTGGATGATATTGAATGATTCTAGAGAAACGCGGATATTTTGATTTTTTGGTGGTGTTTTGCTACTAATTTTCAGGGGGGGCTGGGAAAATTCTGTTTTCGCAAGTAATATGTCCGCCACAATATGTAGACTTTATTCTCCCCGGTGGCCGAATGGTTAATGCGGCCACCCGGTAGCGCCTTGGCATGGGAAACCAAGGCGTGTGGGTTCGAAACCCGCAGGGGATACATTAAATCCGGAACCCAAGCACCTCAGGTTTCTAATAAATACAGAGGTGTACAAATCGCTCCAATAAAATTGCTCTATGTTCCTGGGCTGGGAAGTTATTATCGCATGTATTTAATTGTCACTCCTTTGTATTTCCTATGTTCTTGTTATCTTGGCGTGGTCTCAACACCTGTATTTCCTCCTGTATAACCAACACTTGGCCTGTATTTAACATCACGCAAGGACTCATCATAAGCTCCGCTTGCATATGAGTATAATGGAAGAATAATAATAATAATAATAATAATGTAGACTTTATTCGCAGATGAAAGGGGGCGTTTAACGCGCTTGCCGCGTTTATACGTGTGGGGGAGGGGAGCCAAGGTGGACTAAATGTAAAATTATTGAAGACATTAAATATTATTGAAAAGGAGATATAAGATGTATCAGAGATGAAGTGTTTTATTTCGAACTAGGAAAATAAAAAAGAAAAACAGTTGCTTCCTCTCTATATTATCCCCAGCTGAAATTTTCAAGCACGGAGAGGGTTTTGTATAGTATAGTTATAACGGCTAACAATAACTAACAATAATAATATCATAGAGTTTAATATTCGTCAGGAAGCAGGTTGTACATGCTTCCTAGTAGCCTGTTGAAGCTGACCTTGATGACATATCCCGCGTCAAGTAGCCTTTAGAGCAGACAGACGCGAGCGAGTCGGTATTATGATATTGACGAAACACAGCTATTCAAACGAACCGGGATGCGCTCAATCAGCTAAAAAGGATGATTATAAACTGATTAGAGCCCGGAGCCACCCCCCCCCCCCCCCCCCCCCTCCTTTTCCCCTTACCGGTCTTATTTATGGCGACAGCCGCTGAATCCTCCACTTAAACGCCTTCGCCGTCTCGTCCCCCGATCCCACCTCCCCATGAACCCTCACATACCTGAACCGATCATGCAGCCGACTCTTCCTCCCCTGCCAAAACTCCACGGACTCCGGCACAATCCGAATCCCGCCCCAGAACGGCGGGAGCGGGATCTCTTCCAAACCGGCAAAGCGCGCTTCCATCGCCTTTACACGGTCGTCAAGGATCGATCGCCCATCATCGTCGTCAGCATTGTCAGCATTTGCATGAGCGGTATCCACCCCATTGACAATAGCAGCTGAATCACGAAGCCCAGCCGATGCCGCAGAAGCAGGAGCAGGAGCAGCCAGCGGGCCCGTCTCCCATAGGACCTTACTCTGCTGACTCGCCCAGGCCCCAATCTGGCTCCCCCGCTCCCTCGTCCGCCAATACGTCTCGCTCTCCTCTCTCGACAGCGACTCCACCCGCCCCTCAACACGCACCTGCCGCTCCACAGCCTGCCAATGGAATGTTAACGCCGCCCATCGATTCCCTTGATGCTGCTGCTGCTGCTGCTCACTCGCGCCTTCAACCCCTGCCCCATCCCCATCCCACTCCCACTCATCCACACCACCCGCCGTCCCAAAAACCTGGCCCCCCTTCCCCTTCCTACTCCCCCAATTACTATACACCACCCACCCCCTCTCATCCAGCTCTTTCAGATATAGCGTGCGCGCACTGACGCGGCCAGACGGCAGCGAGGCCGTGGCCAGCGTGCACGTCTCCGGCGCGGTGGAGGCGGGCAGCCGCGGGTCGCGGAACCAGGTGTTGAATTGCTGGAAGGGATTGGTGGGGTT